CCAGGCTTGTCTTGAACTCCTGACCACAAGTGATCCGCCTGCCTTGGCCTCCCAAAGTGCTGGAATTTCTGGTGTGAGCCACTGCGCCTGGCCAATTTTTGTGTTTTTTGTAGAGATGAGGTCTTGCTATGTTGCCCAGGCTGGTTTGAAACTCCTGAGCTCAAGCAGTCCTCCCTCCTCAGCCTCCCAAAGTGTTGGAATTGCAGGTGTGAGTCACTGCATCCTGCTGTCCTTATTGTTTAGTTGAGGACCTGATCCCAGAGCCAGTGAGTGGCCCACTGGAGCAACCTGAGCCCCAGCCCATGGCCCATCCCCTTCAGAGTCTTCCCTCCCTTTCATCTAGAGGTGTTCTGGTGTTTAAGGGCTTGGACCAGCAATGGGAATATTCCTAAGTTCCCCCAGCCCTGTCTTGGGCTGCTGTTGTTCAGGGATGGCTTTGGCAACAACAGAAGGAGGTCTCCTGTTGCGTTTCTGCAGACCTTGCTGACAGGCATGCAGCTCACTGGGCAGCTCCTTTCTGAAGGGGAGGCCTGGGCCCTTGATATGTTTTCAGGACACATCTTTTTTTTTTTTTTTTTTTTTTTTGAGATAGAGTCTCGCTCTGTTGCCCAGGCTGGAGTGCAGTGGTACCATCTCGGCTCACTGCAGCCTCCGTCACCTGGGTTCAAGCAATTCTACTGCCTCAGCCTACTGAGTAGCTGGGACTGTGGGTGCATGATGCCATGCCCAGCTAATCTTTTTTTTTTTTTTTTTTGTATTTTAGTAGAGATGGGGTTTCACCATGTTGCCCAGGCTGGTCTCGAACTCCTGAGCTCAGGCAATCTGCCCGCCTCGGCCTCCCAAAGTGCTAGGATTGCAGGCGTGAGCCACCGTGCCCGGCCACATCTTTTTTACTTTTTAAAATTTACTGAAGTGCACCTACGACTTAGGAGTCATCAGTGTGTGGCTCAATGAATTACCACACAGTGAACATGCCTGTGTACCCACCACCTGGATCTGACAACCAGAAGCTGGCATGCCTCCCCCAATTACCACGCTCTTCATCTCCCCAAAGGTGCCCCGTCTACATTTGTCCACGGATCGTATGCCTGTCGGCCCTTGTGCCTGGCTTCACGCTATATCACTTCTGAGAGTCATTCGTGTTGCCTGTAGCAGTGGGTCGTTCTTTTTATGCTGTGCAGTGTCGACCACTTATGCCCATGCTCTGGGGCTGCTTCCCGCCTGGAGCTTTCATCCACAGGCTTTATGAGCATTCCTGGTGAAGCAGAGTCACAGGCATCTGGCTCAATCTGTTCAAATCATTCTAAATATTGGCATATGTTATGTTCTGGTGCCCCAGGCCACACCTGGATCACCCCAAATTCCCTGCAGAAGTACCTGTTGCTATTCCCTGAGAGTCCTCTAGCTCAACAGTCTTGGTTTTCTGACCAGACCCTCAGTCCTCCAACCCCAGAGTGGTTCCCAGGACCCCAGACCACCAGCTCTCCTGTCTTCCAGGCTAGACTCAACCTCTCGTGCTCAGAGTGTCGTGTGGGCCCCTGCCTATGGGCCCACCCTGTCCCTGGCTTCACCCTGTAGCCTGACCATTGCAGACACAGCTTGCCCTGCCCCTCTGTGGTATAGCCTCTTCCCCCATGCCCATCTCCACTTGGAGACCTCCTGTGCATCTCCCAGGCACGGCTCAGTGTCCCCTCCATCTTTGTCTGTGGTGGCAGAGGGAGATAAGGGCCAGAGGGTGCAACTGAGGAGGGCATGGTGCCCAGCTGTGGCCCTCAGCAGTTCCGTGGCCTCATACGAGTCAGTGGCCTCTGAGTTCTGCATGGTGTGGCGGGTCGGAACCACGGCTGACCGCTCCCAAGAACTCCCCGTGTGTGTCTTGTTTGAGGCACTTGGCATCACCACAGCCTTACTTGTTACACCCATTCCATGGGTGGGGGACACAGGCACGGAGAGGACAGGAAGGAAAGGGCAGGGCTGGGCTGTGAACCCAGAGCCTGTGCTCTCACCCATGCTGCTCTCCTGGGCCCTCAGGACTGAAAGGAGCCAAGTGGCTGTGCCTTACATAGGAGGTGCTCAGCTGAGGGGGTGGCTTTGTGATTGTCTGCGGATCGTGAGATAGAGCCTGAGATGGGGGATTGGGTCGTGACCTCTGTGGAGTCCCACACTGAGTTGCAGTAGGTAGAGAGGGTGGTTTACAGGGGTGCTCTGTGCAGCCCCTCTGATTTTCCCCTGGGAGTCCCAGGTCCAGAGGAAGGAGGACAGTGGCCCAGGCCACACAGCTCCTGCACGGCTCACTGGGTGACTCTCACTCCCACAGGGCTGGCTGCTGGCAGAATGGACACCCTGGAGGAGGCGACTTGGGCCAATGGGAGCACAGCGCTACCCCCACCCCTGGCACCAAACATCAGTGTGCCTCATCGCTGCCTGCTGCTGCTCTATGAAGACATTGGCACCTCCAGGTGAGGCAGTCACAACACTGGGCAGGCTTGCTGAGTGTCAGTGGCTTTTCCTGGAGTCGGGGAGTGGTGAGGGTGGGCCAGACTGTGTGCTGGAGAGAGGGTGCGTATGTGGCCTCGCCAGTGAGCCAGCTCCTCTGCCTGTCTGCCAGGGTCCGGTACTGGGACCTCTTGCTGCTCATCCCCAATGTGCTCTTCCTCATCTTCCTGCTCTGGAAGCTTCCATCTGCTCGGGCCAAGATCCGCATCACCTCCAGCCCCATTTTTATCACCTTCTACATCCTGGTGAGTTCACTGCAGTTGACAGAAAAGCCAACGACACAACTGAAACAAAAAGGAATTAGCTGCTTCTATAATGAAAATGAGCTTCAGGTATGGCTGGATCCAGGCAGTTAAATGATGCTGTTAAGATCTGTTTCTGCATCTCTGCTGTCTTTGGGACTTATCTCTGATGAGTTCCCCTCATATGGTGTCAAAGATGGCCAAGAACAGCTTTGAGCTAACGTCCTGCCTCTACAACTCAGGCAGACAGTGCCTGTTTGCTGATAGTGCCAGTGTAGACCTGGGATTTCCTCTGACTGGCCCACCTGGGATCCCATCCTCATCCCTGAGCCAAGCACTGTGGCTAGGAAGGAAAGGGGCTCTGTGAAGCTGGGAGGGCAGCATCAGCTCAGCCGGACCATATGGACTGAGGGAGGTGGTCCCTACAACAGAACTGGGGAGCTGATACTAGAGGGGAGGGGAATGGATGCTGGGTAGGGAAAATGCCCACTGCATCCACCAACCTTTCGTCCCTTATCTGTGCATTCTGTGAAACCTCTTTGGAGAAGACATCTTACTTGCTGGGAGAGCCTGCATTCTCACCACTTGGTGGTCCTGGCACATGTTGCCTGGGGAGAGGTGTCAGGGCTGTGGTTGAGAAGGCAGCTCCAAACGTGGGCTGTCCCGTTATAGGCTCTAGGTGTAGGCTCCAGGTGTGGGCTCCAGATGTGGGCTGTCCGGTATAGGCTCCAGGTGTGGGCTGTCCGGTATAGGCTCCAGGTGTGGGCTCCAGGTGTGGGCTCCAGGTGTGGGCTGTCCAGGTATAGGCTCCAGGTATGGGCTCCAGGTGTGGGCTCTGAGTATAGGCTTCAGGTGTGGGTTCCAGGTGTGGGCAGTCTCGATGCAGGTTCCAGATATGGGCCGCAGGTCTGGGCTGTGCAGGTGTGGGCTGCAGAAGGCTTCAGGTGTGGACTACCCAGGTATGGGCTGTCCAGGTGCGGGCTTCAGGTATGAGCCGTCTAGGTAATGGGCTTCAGGTGGGGGTTATCCAGGTGCAGGCTGTCTGGTTGGGGGCTGTCAGGTATAGGCTTCAGGTATGGGCTGTTGAGGGACAGGCTATCCAGGTGTGGACTTCAGGGCTGTCCAGGTGCAGCCTGTCCAGGTGTGGGCTGTCCAGGTGTGGGCTGTCCAGGTGTGGGCTGTCCAGGTGTGGGCTTTCGGTGCGGGCTGTCCAGGTATGGGCTTCGGGTGTGGGCTGTCCAGCTCCCTTCCTTCAGGGCGCCCTTACCCTGCCTGCAGGGCCTGCCTGGCTAGAGTCCACCCTTAGATACCACTACATGAGAGCCGAGTGGCTCCCTGGTTGCCTCTTTGTGGTCTAGCCCAGAACTTCCCAGTCAGAGGAGTGGGCTGTGGGCAGGCAGAGAGACAAGGGACTGGGGAAGCCTGGAGGCTGTAGTGGCCTGATGGCCCTTACACCTGCAAGATGGTGATGGACAGGACTGGGAACTGAGGCCTGCTTTCTTCTCTGCTTCTCTCCCCATTTACTTATTTGTGTATTTATTCAACAGATATTAAACATCTACTGTATGCTAGGCAGATGTCCTTTTGTGGGATAAGGGGGAGTGCAGGCAGGAGGAAAGAGCCAGGGCTAAATGTCCAGGAACATAGAACAGGGCCCAGCCTATCAACTTTTGAGGACTTTGTCCTAAACAGTTCAGGAGGCAGTGGTAAGAGTGGACTCAGGAAGTCCAGCTCTGAACCCCAGCCATGCTGCTGTGTGACCTGGAGCCAGTGG